TGCTCTTGCTCTTGCTCTTGCTCTTGCTCTTGCTCTTGCTGTTGCTGTTGCTGTTGCTGTTGCTCTTGCTCTTGCTCTTGCTCTTGCTCTTGCTCTTGCTCTTGCTGTTGCTGTTGCTCTTGCTCTTGCTCTTGCTCTTGCTGTTGCTGTTGCTGTTGCTGTTGCTGTTGCTGTTGCTGTTGCTGTTGCTGTTGCTGTTGCTGTTGCTGTTGCTGTTGCTGCTGGTGCTGTTGCTGTTGTTGTTGTTGTTGGTGGTGGTGGTGGTGCTGCTGCTGCTGCTGCTGGTGGTGGGTTGTTGTGTTCGTCACACTTTGCTGCTCATGCATTCTGTCAGTAAACAGTTCAAACATACTGTGCAAACGCTGTCCAGGTCGGAGTGTCTCTGTCTAGGAAGCCGTGTGACCAAGCAAATGAATTTAATGATCCCGGGCGGTCGGAAAGAGGAACCCAGACAATTTTGAGCTGTCTCTGCCTTCCCGCAGGTGGGTTACGTTTCTACGAGTGCCTGCCGATGCTCACATCCAAGGAAAGCACAGCCTCTCCGCTGGTTGAGCCCGATTCTCAGGCACGATGTAAAACCGATCACGGAGCAGCAATATTTGAGTCGAGACATCTATCGGTGTCATGTTTTTTTTAGTCTTGTAACCATCAAGCAAGCATTTTCGATGTTCTTGAGACATCATATCTTCTATGTCTCTGTCAGGGTCCATGTACCTCCATTCCACATGTTTCTGACACAACCTGGTCATGTGCAGGGTTCTCTGATTTGAGTTCCAGCTTAGGACCACGGACTTGCTTCCCCGGATTGCCCGGAACGGTCACCGCCTCTGACGAAAGCTCTCTACAAGTACTAAGGGTCAGGGCTAGAGTCGGGCTGGGGTTTTGCATCTAGAGATGACAGCAATAGCCTGAAGTATACCAATCAAGATGAGAAGATTGAGATGCCAGTTGGGTTTGTCGTCGTTGTAACAATGGAAGCAGAGACAGTGGGACAAAAAGAAGCATTGGCAGTAACAGGAGTAGTAGGCCTAGGACCAGTAGCAGTAGCAGTAGCAGTAGCAGTAGCAGTAGCAGTAGCAGTAGCAGTAGCAGTAGCAGTAGCAGGAGCAGCAGCAGCAGCAGCAGCAGCATCAGCAGGAGCAGGAGCAGTAGGAGTAGGGTGGGAGTAGGGGTAGGAGTATCAGGAGAAGTCGTAGGAGTAGTAGTATCAGCAGTAGTATCAGTGGTAGTGGTTGTGGAAGTGGTAGTGGTATCTGTCGTAGCAGCAGCAGCAGTAGTGGCAGCAGCAGAAGAAGTAAGTAACAGTAATCGCAACAGTAGCGATGATGATATATACTCGGGATGCTTGAAGGCAGATGCCTTGTGGGTGTGTGGGTGGACGGATGGATGGCTGGCTGGATGGATGGATGCATGGATGCCTGGCTGGCTGGCTGGCTGGATGGATGGATGGATGGATGGATGGATGGAAAGGGGACGGATGGAGAGTGGATGACACCTGACGGGCACTGGTGCTGAGGGTGACTTACTGGTGATGGCGAAGACAATGACGTTTCATGCTCACCACCGCCGCATTTGTCATGTGCCATCATGCTCATAAGGACGCTTGAGGTCATAGTCATGGATAACTGGGACGTGGCATGCAAGCTGTCATCATCGCAGTGATGCCGATGTTCATAGTCCGTGTCTGATCAGAAGCACGGCGGCTGGTTGAAACAGGGTATTAGGGCTAGAGCCTTCAGGTGCGGTTCACAGGCTCGTATGAATGAGGTTTTTGCAGGATAACCGGTAGAAATGAAAGCCATGGACTGCCACAAGTCTGCCATTTCTGGAAAGCGTAGTTCCTCAATACCCAGCCTTTAAACTTTTTGGCCTCTTATAAACGAGTATTAATCTGAAAGTTTAACATTTTATTTCCCTGGCTTTTTGGGGAAGTAAGAAAGGGTCTCCTCGGTTGGGCAGCACATACGCTCTTGCATTTGCATTCCATGAACCATGAACTTAGCACCGTGGCTCTTTTCGTCTTCAGGCTACACGGCATTGCTGCTGATGGGATTGCTTGAATGCAAGGACTTGCACTGCATGAACTGCTGCCCGCAGTCCTTCTAGTTATTCTAGAAGTTAATTTCTTGAGTGTCCAGACTGCTGCGGCCTGGATAGCATGCCCTACGGCTGCGCAACACTGACACAGCACATGCATATTTGCATAAAGCACTTTCTTTTTCTCCATACCTAGATGTGTGTATGCCTATTCCGGCTGGCATCTGCGGGCATTGCATTTCTTATTGTCTGAACAGGGAACAGGCACAGGAGCGCGCGCACGCACACTCACAGATCGAGATACAGATATACACGCACGCACGTACACACGCGCGCACACACGCACCCACACACACACACACACAGACACGAACAAACTCTGTGAAAGAAGAACTATGAAAGCAGTCTGTGTCTTGGGAGTTAGTTCAATAAATACTTGTGTTAAGATGGATAGACTTTTGCACTCTTCTCTCTCATGTCTGGTGCCGTTCATGCAGAGTGTCACTGCTTTCTGAGAAAAACTCCCTTGTGCTCTTATCTGGAGAAGCCTCAACACAAAACCCGCAGACTCCAAGCTCTTTTGAACAAGCCCAGACCCCATAACTCGAGCTACCCAAGCGCAGGACAACAATACGCTGGGCCGTCAGCCCGTGAGTCTGTACGCCCTCGCCAGAGATCTTGGAACCACGGAGGAGCTGGTGTATCTACATTTTTGGACTACGAGTCTATGTTTTGGGCTTCAGAAAGAGGGCTCCTCTCTCTATGTCGCAGCGCATTTGCCAGGAGCTGAAGAGCTTGGTGCTTCAGGCTGGAGTTGCCAGCATGGATGGGTTTCGGGAGGAGTGATCCTAAACCCTAAGACTCTGATATGTAAAGATCGTGTGTTCCAAGCCCACACTTTCCACCCGAAACGACTGAACCAAATTCCTGCATCCCATGGGCTGAGGATTCAGAATCTCAGAAAGCCCTGCGAGCACCCCATGTTTAAGAGTTTTCTGCCGAAGAACCTTAAATGCCAGCGATGACACCGAGTTGGTAGTTGGCAGTGTCCAGAGTTTGATAAGAAGCACTAGTGATCACTAGTGGTGATTAGTTCTTAGCGTATTTACACAACAAGAAATAGCAGCGGTTACAAGAATTCGAAGCCAAGCCCATTCAGTGACAGATAGGAGTCCTTACTGTAGTGGCTATGAGAAATTCTACGAAACTAGATTCAAACCACAAGAAGCAATAGTTTAGGGTTTAGGGTTTAGGGTTTAGGGTTTAGGGTTTAGGCTTCAAGCCATAAGAAGCAATAGTAGCTCTCAAGCCCCCCTACCTACAGTCCCCAATGTAGTTCCTTTTTCTGGTTTAACCAGGTACATAGCTAGGATCCTCTAAGGCACCCAAGCAGAAACTACAATGAATGCTATGGGTATAGCACCCTTCATAGTAAACCTACAAAGATGCCTCGAAGGAGCCCTCAAAGAAAGGCGTAAAACCCTAAAGCCCCAAGCCCTAATATAGGGGCCTAAATAAGTACCACTACTTTTCTGGGGATTCCTTATTATTATTGTATAACGGACCTCAAAGCCCTAATGAAATTATTAAGGCCCCTAAACCCTAAACCCTTATAGCAACCCTTATAGAACCCTTTAAGGAACCCTTTAAAGGAACCCCCCAAAACCCTATTGATATTATTCAGGCCCCTACATGAAGCCCCGACAACAGGCTCACCGTTTGGGACTCCAAGTCTGCAGCTGAGTGCTGGGTGTTTGCAGGGTCCAAGAGGGTTTAGAGGGTTTAGAGGGTTTCAGAGGGTTTAGAGGGTTTAGAGGGTTTCAGAGGGTTTATAGGGTTATAGGGTTTATAGGGGTTACAGGGTTTATAGGGTTTAGGGTTTTAGTGCAGGGTTATGCAGTTTACGGTTTCGGGGTTCGGTTAGGGCTGGTCTAACTGTTAGGAGCTTGAAGGCAGTTTATGGTGTTGTGGCTGGAGCTTCTTGGTGCTGTTTAGAAGGCTCTTGGGGTGCTTATGTTGGCATCGTTTGTGCAAAGGTTTTGCTCTCAGGCGTAACAGGAAGTGCACAGCTGAGTCAAGGTGACTTGCTGTTTCTGTCGCTGGATTCGGTCAGTTGAAAGATGTAGTGGGTTTTAGTCCTAGTAAATGTGTGTACGTTCTGTCGGTTTGAGGATGGATTGTTTTTGTTCGTGTGAGAGATTGGTTTGGGGTCTGAGGATTTCGGTTGCAGAATGGGGTTCTTAGAGGGTTTGGTTGTTGTGGGGCCGGCTTGCAGCAAGGGTAGGGAGTAGGGAGCTCTCTGACCTTCGGCGCCGCGTGACTGTTCGCAGTTGTAAGAGCGATGTGCCGGACCCTGTGAAACAGCGTGACCGTCATACACTGCCCTAAACCCTAAACCCTAAACCCTAAACTCTCAAAAAAAAAAACCCTAAACCCTAAACCCTAGACCCAAACCCTGCCCACAGTCATCACTGTGTGTACCTGTAAAAAGCCGAAGAAGACCCCAGACTTCGAATCTTCAGCCACGGCATGCCCGACAAGGAACCCCAAAGCCCTAAAACCCCCTAAAAAGCCCTAGAGCCCTAAACCCTAATCCCAAAAGCCCGAAATCCCGAAGAAGCCTAAAAGCCCTAAAGCCCTAAACCGTAATCCCAAAAGCCCCAAATCCCGAAGAAGTCCCACAAGCTGGATCCCCTCTGGGCTCCCGCTTACCAGGTTTTCATGGACCTGCCTCACAGCGGGGCAGCCTCAGCCGAGGCCCAGTGACTGCCACGCAAGCTCAGGGTTTGGGGCGGCTAGATTATGTAGATGATGCAGGGTAACATGATGATGATGATGATGATGATGATGATGATGATGTTGATGATGACTATGATGATGGTGATGATGGTGATGACGATGATGACTATGATGATGGTGATGATGATTGGGTGCTGAAACTGCAGATGCGTCGCGATGATGCTGACGACGATGGCAAGGCGGAGGAGGAGGACGCGGACGATCAGGATAATTAATGACAATGGTTGTGCTGTTCATGGTGCTCTGGAGGAGGAGGAGGAGATTTCGGAGCCGTCTTCTTGCCTGCAGGGCTTACTAACTGCCCGCAAGGGTATGGGCGTCCTTTGCTGCCTGAGGAGTCTGAGGAGGGTCAGAGCTGAATGAAATTGTCTGGCATCTGCGGTTGTGTTTTTTTTGGATGTAGGCTGCTCAGTTAAGAGATGCGCTTCTAATCAAGTTTGCTTGTCAGTCAGGCATTAACGCTCAGTACATCTTGCTACACCTGCTACTGCCTTGAAAATAGGCCATAGCTGTCGCAAGCTAGGGCACAAATATCGGGACCTAAATAATTGTTAATACTAATGCTATTTTGGGGGGGGTTCCTTATTATAATTATTGTATAATATACACCGAAACCCTATGATGAACTCCAAGGCCCTAGTTCGGGCCCATGTGCCCAAGCAACAGACCTTTATGTTTAGGGGTTTAGGGGTTTAGGGTGTAGGGGTTCCAGGG